TAGATGCAACGAACATGAAATTGAGCAAACTTCAGAGGACGGCGGAAGACAGGAGGGACTGGCGGGAGCTGGTACATGGGGTCGCGAAGAGTCGGACTCGACTGTGCGACTGAACAACAACAAAGGGTCTCTAGGTTTCGGGTGCCACCAAGTGGTGAAATTGTATATTGCATTTTACATAGAAATGTAAATATCTTGCAATCATGCTGTGGTTTGTTTGTTTGTTTTCTGTTTTCTTTTAATGCTGCTTGGAATATAGGGTAAAAAAAGTCAAGAGCTAGACGTTGGGGACAGCTGAGTGACCCCATCGAACCTAGTAAATATTTATGTACACTCTGCAGAATTGGAGTGTGTGCAGCTGAACTGGTTCCATAGAAACAGAGGCTGTTTGTTAAGTCTGCTACCTTTTTGTTTAAAGAAGCCTGAATGCCAAAGCTGCATTTGTGTGTAATTTCTTTAATAATGTCTGCTTCTAAATCAGAATGCCCAGCTGGATATGCGCTACTGAGCTCCATCTTCCTTGCTAGCTCTAGGTGAGCTTAGGTGCACAGCAACATGCCTAGCTGTTGTCTTTAATGGCAGTCACCTCCGTGCCTCCCATGGAGAGTCTATTAGCCCATCTGCTCCCCAGAGCTGTGGTGCCTAGTGTGGACTGGGCACGGGCATTCCCAATGCTTGAAGGCTACTAGTTGTTTCCATATATGGTATTTTGTCTGTTCTCAGTGTGTTATCCTTTGGGTGGCATGTCATGGTTTGCACTGCAGCAGAATTCCTTTCTCTCCCCGAGGGTAGTGTCGCTTCCAAGGGGGAGGCAGTCCTGGCTTCCCCAGATCTTCATAGCTGCAGGTAATTAGAAGCGCAGCTTTGGTTGGGGGACAAAATCCTTCCTTGGAGTGAAGATAGCCATGGTAGCTCTCTAGTAGTATGTCTGTCTGCCCACCCTCATTCACTCCACTGAGCTTTAATTAGCATCAGCTGAACTTTCACTGGATGCATTGAGTTCAAACCATCTGCAGTCTTGACCCAGACTTTATACTGATATTAAAGAGCAAGAATCCAATAGCACCTTCAAGACTAACAAAATTTGTGGCAGGGTGTGAGCTTTCATGAGTCACTGCTCACTTCTTCAGCAGTGACTCACGAAAGTTCATTGTAGTTGTTGTTCAGTCGCACAGTCGAGTCCGAAAGTTCATACCTTGCCACAAATTTTGTTAGTCTTGAAGGTGCTACTGGACTCTTGCTCTTCCCACCGTGATCTGACTTTATAGTGAGTTGCAGAAGTTGGAGGGCAGCTAGGCTTTCAACCTTGACCTAGTGTCTGCCTTGCCTTGTTTTGCAAACTGAGGCTTCAGTCCTGTGCCAGCTTTCTTGGAAGCGAAGCTCATAAAACAGCTATAACTTGCTTGGAATGGCACTGTAACCTCTGGCTTTCTGTACAGCAGTTCTTGGGGCCCTGAAAGTTTTTTCTACAGTGTGGTCTTTGGGGTGAAAAAGCTGCCATTTCCGACTCACAGACACAGAGCGGCATTATAATACTGTGATCTGTATTCTTAGGCTGCATTTCTAAACGAGACATGAAAGCAAGCCTCACTGAAATTGATAGAATTATATAACATTAGAATGCCATCCTGTAACCCTGTGCTCTTATCATTGTAGTAATTTAATTTGAGATGTGGGCAGAGCAAGTCCCCTGCTTGCGGGGAGGGTGGCGTATAAATGGAAATAAATAAGTCTAGGATAAGTATGTTCACATCCATTCAAACGTAGGACAAATCTTTTATTAGTATCTATGAGAGCCAGTGTGGGATGACAGTTAAAATGTTGGACTAGGTTGGATCTGAGAGCCAGGCTTGAATCCCTGCTCTGCGGCACGTAGGCTTGCTGGGTGACCTTGGGCCAGTCACATCCCCTCAGCCTAACCTCCCTCATCTGGTTGATGTGTGGATACAGTGGAGGAGCTGGGAACTGCTTTGAGGAGGAAAGGCATGGTATAACTTAATGGTCAGTAACTTAATGAGGGCTGGTTACGCACTGCATGGATTGTTATCCCCCTCATTGCTTCTGATGCTAGTTTGCTTCAAGCCAAGATTAGCATAATGTCTTCTGTTAATCTGAATATATCTCCAATCATCATTATGCAAGCAAAATGTCCTGTTTTCCCATGGAAGTGTGCAACCAAACTTTCCCCATGACTAGCCCACACGGTACACATCAAACTGTGTGAGTGTGAAGTAATAAAGGATACAAATGCACACAAAATAGATGATACTTGATGGCTGTCTAGTAACAATTGTTTCATTTGAACCCACTGTACCTGTTGTGTGTTTTGAGCACTGCTAAGCATTCAAGTGTATTTGCATTTAGGTTAGTAGTTGATATGCTTGATAGTGCTGCCGAGAGGCTGTTCTCTCTAACTTGGGATTTGTCTCTTGCCTTCAGGTTCACACCAAGCAAAATGGCTGCCTCTTCGTCATCCTCTTCAGCCGGTGGCATTAGTGGGAGCTCTGTAACTGGATCTGGGTTCAGTGTCTCAGACCTTGCCACGCCACGGAAAGCTCTCTTTACCTACCCCAAAGGAGCTGGGGAAATGTTAGAAGGTAATTTTTTTGTCATTTGAGTCCATGTGGCCAAGAGAAGTCTGCTGAGCGGAAAATGTCTATTCTTGTTCCCCTGCCCCAGTGGTTTCTGGGGGGACATTACAGCGAAGCGGATTTCTCTTTGTGCAGGCCAGGAAGAGTCTGTGTTAGGTCTGCCTGGCTGTCTGTAAATCAGTACACAGTGAAGCTGTCCTCCAAATGAGCACTAAAGTTGGATGGAGTTTGTTATCATGACCCATATTGATTGCGGCAACATCAGCAGAACAGTGCCTGGAGAGAGAACGCCAATCTATTGGAATTTGGAATGTTCATTATGCATTGTTTGAATCTTCCTCCTCCCAAGATTCACTCCAGTTAATTATATAGCACATTAACAGGGTTTGCCAGGTATTAGCTTGGAGACTACCTGTCCCAAAACCTCGGATCTCGTAAAGGGGAAGCGTGCCACCCCAGCACCTGCTGTTTACCTGGCCCTTCACCCAGCTTCCTCCCCGACCTGTTGTATCTAACAGGATTAGTGATGCCCCACAGCATAGCGAGAAGGGAGAATGGGCAGAAGAGCAGAACGGGAGGCATCGCAGCTGCTGCCTGATCTTTCGCGGCTTCCAAGGATCTAAGTGGAGTTCTCAGTTTAGCATTTAGCTAGGGGGTGTGCCCTTCAAAAATTGCTGTTTTAATTCTGTATTGGAAAATCAGGTAGAACACGGCTATTGTTTTCATTAAATATTGGAAGTATTGTTATCATTTTGGAAAGTCATCGTGGGGAAGTCCCATTTTTAAATTGATACTGGAACAATGTTCCCAGTTGGATGAAAAAGATGTTTATGCCTGTTCTGAAATTATAAAAGTAAATGAAAATAATTTTTGACATGACCCCCGCCCCAGAGGCAACAGGGAAAGGGAAAGGAAGTGTGCCATGGTCCCCAGATGGTGCACAGTGCATTGGGGCTTAAGCTTTAAAGGGCCACTGTGTCAGTAAATGGTAGACCTTGCCTCTGGAGTCTGGGGCCAGGTCTTCTACCCACTAAAAATTGCAGGGCTGCACTGGCGGCTACTCCCTAGCTGCTGCTTTTACCTCTCTGACACAGTTCCCAATCAGAATCAGGAATATCAGGGGGTTCCTCTTGATATACTGGATACTTCCAATCTGATACCAGAAATATTGGGCACTTTTTCAGGTTGGAAATATCCAGTTACAAACCTCTGCATTTGGTAATCTTACCCATAACGGATCTGGGTGGTTTTTGACTGTTCAGTTCTTGCTCCTTCCTTTTTGCTTATATTTTTACCATCTTCCCTCAGTTTAATCCTTGGGATCAAGAAAGAAGGAGCAAAGCCTTCTTTTTAAATGTAGATTCCCAGTTATGTTTAAATGGACACTTACAAGGAATTGAATATTGCCCACTGAAACTTGGGTAGTTTCATTGGCTTATTCTTTGCTTGAACTGTACTGTGTGTGATCACAAACTGAAAGATCATATCTGTTCCAGGCATGATGTGATCTGTTTTCTCTACATCATTTGATGGGTGGCCTCCTCATTCAAATTTAGGCAAAGGGAAATGGTTTTTAAAAGTGAAGGATGTTGGCTCCCTAGAAATCGAGACTTCTCCCAGCTAGGGCAAAGCTGCCTTAAATCTTTAAGCCAGACTCTGGTCTTTAGGACCCTGATCCTGGAAGGCGGTGTACGGCTGGTTCACTCACTAGGCAAACTAGGCATTCATCTAGAGCGCACCAGCCCTTAGGGGTGCCAAACTGCCCCCCCCCCCCCCCCCCCGCCTGGCTGCTTTCTATCTCAGCTGCCCAGTGGCGCTTGTCAATCAAGCGCTCATCCTCCCCGTGCCCCATTGTCAGCCCAGGGAGGGGAGGGGAGGCTATTTTAAGGCTGTGGGGTGTGGGTTGGCTGCTACAGGAAGCCGGCCAGGCCCAGGCTGGGTGCGCTCTGGATTGAGGTTGGACACAAGGTGGGGGGGCGCCACAAGGCAGCCTCGCCTGGGGGGGGGGGGTGCTAGTTTCACCTAGGGTGCTGAAAAACCTCGGGCCAGCCCTGGGTGTAGTTTATTTTGGATGTAGCTTTCCCTCTCCCAAATGGTTCGAGAAAGTGCAATAGCCTAACAAGAGAGGGAATCCCTTCTAGTGTTTGAGTTGCAAAGTGTCTCTGAATTGCAGAGTGGCTGTGGGAAGACAAATCATTGTGTGCTCATTTATTAAATTGTCAGAACTGGCTTCTTTGGGAGTTGTGCTGCCTTTGCATCTTCTGTACACCTTCCTCAATGCTGAAGGATGCTGCTGTTGTTGTTGTTGTTCTACCATCCCCCTAGCACAGGCTCTGGGGTCTTTCACTATAGCAGGTAATTCACCCACAAAAGGATGTTCCTTCCAGCTGCAGGGTTTAAAATTCAACATGCCCTTTATTTTCACTATTGACAGCAGTCTCTGGACACGCTTGTTTCAGCTGTTTTGGCTGAAATAATACTTTCTGTAGTGGGAACTGAGAAATACCGAGCCATTGGGGTTTAGTGGCTGGAGTGCTTGTCTAGGACCTGTGATGTCCAGGTTCATCTCCCCACACTGCTGTGAAACTCACTGGGTGACCTTGGGCCAGTCATTTTCTGTCACCCTAACCTACCTCACAAGAGTGTTGTGGGGATAAAATGGGGGGGGAGAACCACATCCATCACCCTGAACTCCTTGGCAGAAAGGAGCAATGTTTACCAACATGCAGCAAATAAGTAATTAGTTGTTGTAGATTTTCCAGGCTGTATGGCCGTGATCTTGGCCATACAGCCTGGAAAATCTACAACAACCAATGAACTCCGGCCATGAAAGCCTTCAACAACATAAATAAGTAATTCCCAACCAGCTTGTTCTGCAGTCAGAAATGCATGGGAAGCCTTGCCACCAGATAGTCAAAATGTTTCTGCCACCACAAGAGTTTTATCTCATTTTTTAAAAATATCCAGAAAGTTGAGTTGGAAGAGCCAGTTTAGTATAGTGGCTAGGAGTGTGGACTCCAGTCTGGGAGAACCAGGTTTGATTCCCCACTCCTTCACATGCAGCTGCTGGTGTGACCTTGGGTCAGTCACAAGTTCTTTCAGAGCTGTTTTCTCAAGGGCAGTTCTCGAAAGAGCTCTCTCAGCCCCACCAGCCTCACAGGGTGTCTGTTGTGAGAAGGGGAAGGGGATCGTAAGCTGCTGTGAGACTCCAAGTGAAGGGCAGGGTATAAAGCCAATCTCTTCTTCTTCTCTTTGTGCATAAGACATTGCAGGATCAATGGGTATAGCAGTCTTAACTACACGCTGCTGCTGCTATTGTTCCTTTTTTCATGACAAGCCATTGCTCTTCTTCAGAGGTTTATGGAGAGCTGAGGAGGAGGGTGTACCACACCTGTAAAAATCATACCAGCATTTTGTATGAGTTATTTGCTGTGTTCCCTATTGATGTGCTGCATTCATTGTATACTGTGTCTCAGGCCTAATTTAAAAACAAACAAACATGTGCATTGGCAGCTACAGCAAACTGTTGGAAAAATTAAGATGAAATGCTTGTTCTCTTGCTTAATGAGCCCCTTGAACCAATTAAAACATGGAATTATATTTAGAGTTAATGGACAAATGGATGAAATCCACCTGACCAGTTTAAGCGGTGTTGTATTTAGAAGGCTTGGAAGGACAGGAATGCTGTTTGTCCTATCAGATGATGCATGGGAAGCAATCCAGCCGGCACTGCTGCTGTGTTGTTGCCTGGAGACACTTCAAGAGGCCTTGCACCATCGGCCTGCTCACATGGGGTGATGGGTGTGTGTTATTCTAATGCAATTCCTAAAGCTGCTGCTGTTTTATTGGCTGTATTGCTAATGCAGTGAAGGCTCTCCTGTTGGGAGGAAGATGTGGGTGATAAGGTAGAGGGTGATATTTCACGATCAATCAGATACTTACCCTCTCCTTCATCTGCCTCTGCCTTTCTCTGTTGCAGTCAGATTCTGAGATGGGATCGTCTAGAGTTGCCAGTCCAGGCATTCCTATTGCCGTGGCTCAGTTATTTCTGTTTGCAGAGTCTTGGCAACCTTCAGGGTAGAATGAGCTTGTGGTCCTCTGTAGGGCTGCCAGCAGGCCTTGAGAAAAAAAAGCCCCACCCCTTTAATAGAGGCTTAGTGGAACGCTATTTGCCAGGTGATGTTATTTATCCCCATGCCAATGAAAAGCTTCACCTGCCCATTCCCATCAATTAAACGTCCCTTAAAGGGACAGGACAACTTTCCTTCAGGTTGTTGGCAGCCCCGGTCTCCCGTCACTTGTAACCCACAGTTCTGAGAGGGCTAGAATCCTGATTCTTCAGGATGCCTCTCTTTCAAATGCTGGTGACAGCTTGGTAACATCTCCAAAGAACCCACAGCAATCCACCTCATCATCTAGGAGAAGTCTTTGTAAACCACATTTTGTTGTTTCCTTGGAATTGAAGTCTCTCTGATTACTTTCCTTTTGCACAGCACCATTGGTTCAGCTGATACATTTGATAGTGATTCCTAGTTTTTTCCTTGTCAGGGGTTGGCCAGAATAATCTGCCATTTGCAGTGCAGCAACTGGATGATAGGTACTAATATGGCTGATGTGTGACTTGACTCTAAAAGTTGCATTTCCATGGATTTTCAGGAAATCTGAGGAGACTCCTCCCCCCCCTTTTTTTAATTGCGGTTAAGAATATCCTTGACTATCTTTTCTGCTGAGCGGGAGCACAAATCCTGTGCCTGTTGCTCAGAAGTCCTATAGAATTTAGTGGGAACTTTCTACAAAGGAGAAGGCCACTCCTATGTCCTCATACCGCATTGAGGTTGTGCTGGTCTGTCATTTACCGTCCATTGTGCCCCAGCAGCAAAGTATAAAGGAAAACAATGCCAATATAAACAAAAGGGAGCTGTCTTAGAAGTTCAAAGCCCTCCTTGGGCAGAAGTGTGTAGGAGTGACAGTGAAACATCCATCTTCTTGTTTTACATTTCTAGGGG